ATGATCCCAAGCAAACCCATATCACGAGCAGCTGCAGCTGATTGACATCAGGATCGCAATTCCGAATCTCGGCCTCGGCCGTGGCAGCATGGAGGCCATCCAGATTCCAGGCGAGTCACAACCCGTGCCGTCGTCCACAGTCGAAGCCACGCGCGACGGCAGCCCCCTACCGAAACAAACGACCCGGTAGCTCGGCCATTTCCGGAACCACACGCTCGCCCGCCCGCCCGCCCGCCCGAAGCTCGCGCGGGGCGGGTCGCGGAATCAAGCATCAGCAAAGCAGGAGGCAACCAGAGGAGGAACGGCGTGGCAGGCAATGTGATTTTGGGGGGCGGGGCGCTCACCGAGTCGGTCTCGTACAGCTCGAAGCTCTCGAGGCAGCTCGCGTCCGCCTCCGCCCCCGCTTGCGCCATGGCGGGCCGAACGAACGGATTTCCCCCGACGCTGGCCGGCTGGGCCTGAACCGCCGCCGCGGGGCAGATCAGAGCCCCGCCGCCCCCCGCAGGGACCCTAAATCCGCGCCGCCCGGCAGCTTGAGGTAGAACATTCCCCCGGGGAGCCCGCGCGGATCACGGCGTCAGCAGCGCCCGCGCGGCAGAATTCAGAGCACGAGGGAGGCTTCCCTTGCCGCGGCGAATGGCCGCGCCCTCGGGGTTGGATCCGAGGAGCTCGCGAGCGGCCTCGGCGCGGTGGCGGGGTGGGGGAAATCTGCTGGGGAGGCGGAGGAGGGAGAGGGAGGTGGTGGTGGTGGTGAGGGAGGCCGTGGAGAGAAGGGAAGAGGAGATGATTATTTTCGCCTGCCCTCCCTCCCTCCCCTCTTTCTTTTCTGTTGGTGCGTTGGAAAAAATCCGTGAGGCGTGGTCAGGTCAGGTCAGGCCAGGCAGGGGGTAGAGGAGGGGCAGAGAGGGTGAGCTGGCCCGGCCTTATTGGGTCCGGTATTCTGGTTTTTTTTTAAAAACCTGTTAGATTATGTCATGTGTATACTTTTCAATTTTTGTAGTAGAAGCTTCTAGCTGTGGCATTGGGTTGTCTCTAGCTGTTCGAGTTTTATTGTCAGCGTGTTTCTTTATATATATCCCTTAAATGCTGGGGAAAAGCCGTTTGAGACGATGCTTTGGCGGAAGAAAAGCGAGATATTATGAGCCTTTAGGGTGGAGAAAAATGATTCTCTGGCAACATCATAATAAAAATGACAAAAGAAATTGCGGTGGGTGTGATTTGAGGCTACACAAGACGTATAATATGACAATATGATGCCGGTGCATGCATTATTAGCCCATTTAAGCAGTTGCTGTTATTTTAAAAAGGGAGGGGAGGGGAGGCAGCGCAGGGCATATTCGGGGTGAAGGTGACAAGACGGTGGCTGATTGGCGCCGAAAAACGTGGCTGCAAATCCTCCACCTGCCTGCCCGCCACCCCTGGCAGCGCCGGGCCGGCCGGGCGGAGCCGCCGGCCGAGTCCGACGGCGGCGTCCGGCGGCAGCGGTTTGGCGGAGCACGGGCGGAAGGCGGAGCGTACGGGCAACGGCCTCGGCCAGGAATGCGCCACCGGTATTTGCTTGTACGCCATATAGTTCGCAACGTGCAAAATGCCAGTCAATAGCCAAGATAAGCACGCACATAACCGACCAGTCCACGGCCCTCGGGAGCAATCTACTGACGGGAATTGAGCGGCTCTGTTGTGTCCAGGGAGGGAGAAAGGGAAGGGAGAGCGCTCTCCTCTCGCGTGTTCCCGTCGCCGGCACGCGTTGCCTCGCGTGGACGCGACCGAGCGCGCGCGCGCGGTGGAGCGACGTGGGGCGGCCCGGTTGGCGCTCGCGCCCTCGGCCCGGGCGCCGGGTCTCTGGTGGTGCATTTTACAAAGCGCGAATGATTGGGGGGGCGGGGGTCGCCCGGCCAACGGGGGAGCGCCACGGCGCCGCGGATCCGGTTCCTCGGCCGGCCGGCGACGTCGCTGTCCTTGTTTTTTTCTCTGCTCTCTCGTCCCGAGCCGTTTCCGTTGCTGGGCGGTTGGTCTCGTCCCGCGTCCCGCGCGGAACAGCCGACCGCTGGATACACCGACCGACTATGCATGGACGATTTGTCGCCACCGAACTTCTTTTTTTCATTTGGAGCGGTGTAATCAACTAGGAGCACCCCTACGCTACGATGAACTGTTGCTTACGTGCTGTGCATCGGTCGACGACGGGGCTGGTAATAGCATCTCCAATCAGGTCCGTCGCCGCTGAGCTAGGGGAATAGATAGAACGAGTGCACCTAAGATGAACTGTTGCTTACAGGTCGCCGACTAAGGGCATCTCTAGCCGATCCCATAAAAGCTCTCCATACTTTTTGGCTATTCGAATAGATCATGCATATCGGTCCGCCAGTAAAGAAAATACACGGCGTCCTGGATATGCGGCCCCTCTGCCGCTAGATATGCGGCACCGGCGCATTTAGGGTTAGTCCCCCGGATCCCCTCCGTCACCGGATTAGATTTGCTCCGGCGAGAAATTATGTCATCCTCTCCTCTGCTTTTCCCCCTTCTTCACAAGATCGATGGCCGATGGTGCTGGTGGAAGCCATGGCAGCCCCGTCGTGTTGCCTCCGAGCAAGTGCGGGCAACACCATGCGGAGGCTGGTAGATGTAGCCCCGTTGTGGTGCCATGGAGATCGAGGCAGGCGTGGTAGCGCAGTCGGCTCTCCCAGAGTGGCGGACGAAACCCTTAGGCCAGCTTCGATGTGATGCGCCACCGATGAGAAGCTGGTCGCTGCGAAGCGCGCGGTGGCCAATAGAGAAGAAGGTGCCACCGACCGCATCGCCACCGCCCAGAATGAGCACGAGCTCGCTATCGTGCTCCGCAACATGGTCGTCAAGTACTACCTTGGCATCGACGAGTGAGGACGCCGTCGAACTAGGGTTAATTTCTGACGTGAAGTATGTATTTCGTATGTATGCTCTCTGTTTGTGATGAACAAGTTCTAGCACGAAGTTGTTTTTAAATTTGCAGTGTTGATTTATGGGATCTATTCGGCCGAGCTTGCGCGAACCCGTAAAAATGTTTTGCGGTATACCTCAAACTTCTTTGCGGTACCGACTTTCAAAGAATCTGCTAGAAATGCTCTAAGCTAGACAAGCTAAGCATGCCATGGTTGTTGCCTTTAATTTCACAACTCGATGAAAATCACAGGGTTCAGGGCTTGAGGCTGCTTGTGAATTTTGAGGGCATCTTCAATGTTGACCCACCAATTTGCTTCGACATCAAACGGATATGGGAGTCAGCCATCCATCGCTACCCGCATACATCTGATTGTAAAAAAAATGTTTGCTCATTCAAATAGTTGCGTATATAAATGTAAAATAGTTCAAATGAATAGTAGTTTTAATCTAAAGAAGTTTAAATATTACACTCTAACTTTGTTGTCCCTCTTAACCGTCCATAGATGCTCAAAAACTTCCTTCAGTTGCTCATGAGTTGCTCGATGACAAATCTGTTGATGCATTTGAACAAACTCTTCAAATGTCGCTGGATTCTGATCGAGAAGTTCGGTAGGATCACCCATGTTCTCAAATTCAAGACACACGGCAACATCATCACCTTCATCTTTCCACAATCATGTTGTGCATGATCGTAGAACAGGCCATCACCTCCCACAAGGTCGTCGGATCCCATTGTTTAGCGGGTACACGAAACAACTACAAAATGTGCATGCAGAACTCCACATGCTCTCAACATCCTTTCTAGCCGCTCTCATCTTTGGGCAAAGTGAGACATTTTTTGGCCAACTGGGTTAGAGATGGTGTTAACAAAGGTAGCCCACGGAGGATATATACCATCAACCAAATAGTAGCCCATGTTGTTCTCATGCCCATTGATAGTATAGTGGCAAGAAGAAGCTTTTCCTTCAGTCAGCCTAGCAATCAATGATGATCGCTGCAGCACATTGATGTAATTGTGAGACCCGGGCATGCCTAAAAAAGCGTGACAACTTCAAAGATCGTGTGATGCAACTGCTTCAAGAATGATGGTGGGCATCTTAACATGACCTGATATTTCCCTTATAAATCTATCGGGCATTTCTTCCATTTCAATGCATGCAATCAAGAGATCCAGGCAAACCTGGCCACCCTCTTACTTTAGAGATTTCCAAGAGCCTCTCGGTGTTTTCCTCAGTTGGTTTCTCTCATGTACTGAGGTCCAAACACCTCTACCACGGTAGTTGCAAAACCTGACCATGGCATCTCCAGATGCGCTCTCAGACATCCGTAGGTACTCGCCTCATGAATTAGCAGCCATGCCATATGCAAGCATCCACAGTGTGGTCGCGCACTTCTGGTAACCAGAGAACATAATCCTTCACATGACGTCCTTCTTTAAGATGAAATAGTCATCAAAGGACCGGACACCATGATAAAGACGATCAAAGACATTTTTGCGCATGCGAAAGCGCCGACGAAAATTGACAGCGAAGAGGGCATTGGGGAAAGTAGTCATTCATCAGCATCAAATGGCTACGTGCCCAATAGCGGTTGAGTACTCGATGACTCTTGATCGATCCCTTGAAATTAAGAACATGCTTCTCCGCACGCTCCGCATATGTAAATACCGTCTGCATCATTGCTGTCTCATCCGTGTAGTCCTCCTCGTTGAACGAGTTGGAAGACTCAACATAGTGCTTGTATATGTACTCCATATCTGAATCCATTGCTTTAAAGAAGAAGGGACAACAACTTTTAGCTCAGGCAATTCACCGAACAGTTGTCGGGCATGGTAAGCATCATAGGAGCGAATGGTATAGTACCTGCGCGGCTGTCGGAGAAGAGGTGTGGAACGACGGCGAAGGAGAAGCGGCATGTGGAGCTCGGGTGTCCCATTGGAGGTGACAGACTTGTCGAGTTCCAGCAGAGGTGTGGCGTGGCGGCGGGGGTGGTGGAGCGACGACGAAACCAAGAGAGCACTTCTGGTAACCAGCACTTCTGGCAAGCATCCACAGTGTGGTCGCGCACTTCTGGTAACCAGAGAACATAAAATAGTCATCAAAGGACCGGACACCATGTCCTTCTTTAAGATGAAATAGTCATCAAAGGACCGGACACCATGATAAAGACGATCAAAGACATTTTTGCGCATGCGAAAGCGCCGACGAAAATTGACAGCGAAGAGGGCATTGGGGAAAGTAGTCATTCATCAGCATCAAATGGCTACGTGCCCAATAGCGGTTGAGTACTCGATGACTCTTGATCGATCCCTTGAAATTAAGAACATGCTTCTCCGCACGCTCCGCATATGCAAATACCGCCTGCATCATTGCTGTCTCATCCGTGTAGTCCTCCTCGTCGAACGAGTTGGAAGACTCAACATAGTGCTTGTATATGTACTTCATATCTGAATCCATTGCTTTAAAGAAGAAGGGACAACAACTTTTAGCTCAGG